TATATATGTGTGTGTGTATGTGTGTGTGTGTGTGCGGGTGCGTTTCTGTGTATACATATACGTTCGAATATACAAAACATATAACTATGAATACACATTAATTTCTCATAAGTGCAATTGTTCTGTAACATTTTAACAATGTACTTATCCACAATCATTGGCCCAGGCGTGGACATTCACATTCAATCCTATACGTTGTATCTGCGTATTTACCTTTGGCAGAAGGTTTTTTCTGTTTTAGCACAACGCTGTCATCGTCATCCTCTTCATCGTCGAGTTCCACCACATCCTGTGCTATGCCGCCCTCATCTCCACCCACTAGTGCTTCTGCGCCCGCTGCTACAAAAGCCACAAATGGTTACACGTATATATGTGTGAGACAGTTAAGAACACAAGCTCCTCGTATATATATATATATATATGTGTGTGTGTATTTATGTATCTATGTATCTATGTATGTATCTATGTATGTAGTTCATGATCCGTTACCAAAATCCTTAATTATGATACAATACAAGAGTATCTAGCTCCAATGTATTTACCTATTACGGGTCATTTGGCCCCATGCATGGCCATGGTCCCCTTATTGACGTTTACTAGTACTGCCACTTGTATATGCGTAGTGTGTTACGTCTCACTCCGCAGTATGCGATCGACCACCACACCGAGAAGCAGAAACACACTCGAGGCCACCCAAACTCACAAAGAACAAACGTGCCGACATACGCACAAACACAATTCAATGTATATAGCTCAACCCAGATCTTGCATACGGCACGAAGCATGAATCTAAACAGGCACATTACAGTGAACCACCCATATCCTTTAATCGTATACGAGGGTTGATTTGTATATCTGTGCATGGCCCGACCTCTTCGTGGTTTCTCAATAAGCTAATGTATAGCGCAAAGAACATAACACACACACATATATATAGATATATGATGCTGAAGGACTCGGTGCAATATGGGCCAATATGGGTGGCGCGAGTGCGTCAGACTTGTACGCTCTCACGGTCAACGACATAAACTGCACATGGTATGTGTGGACAACACCACCGCTGCGTACATTCCCGTTGCACGGAGCCACCAATACGCTATCGTAAGTGGAACATACAGTCACCATAAAGCTCCAACCACCCTCATCACCCGCCCCCCCTAAAAAAAAACTAAAAAAAAATAGGACTACACCCCAATACAGGACTACAACCAACTTGCAACATACATCCATTAGAAGCCGCCGTTCGTCTCGGCTTGTCCAGTCGCTCGGCGTAGGGCAACAGAATGCCCGCGTTCTTGTACGCTCGGGTAAAGGCCGATTTCGCCTTAGTCTCTATCTTGGGGGGTTGGGTGATGCCCTTGAATGTGCACAGGTCCTGTATGTTGTCCCAATCCTCGCGCAGTAGTGTGTACTCCTGTGTATCAATCCCAGAGGTGGTTTGACATGGCATTGCGAGAGGAAAAATGGGTTCGGTTTGGGTTTGGCATTGCCAAAAGTGGGGCCAAATTGGATTTGTAATAGCAGAAGATGGTTAAAATCCCCATAAGTGGAATTCAGCGCGACGCTGGATGAGTACGCATGTGTATATTTGGTGCTGCGTCTGTCCTGATTGGTCTGTGTACTGTGGTACTATCCTTCACTATAACCACACATTCCTCATCTCTACTTAACACTACTCGCCTTCGTGAAGCCTGTGCCTTCGTTGACCAGTGGGGTGGCAGTCGCCTGACCCAGCGTTGCCGTATCACGCACCCAGTAGATAAGCCAAGACAACAGCACACCCCCACATGCATACACCCGCACAGTCCTATGCACACCTGCACCACCAATCTCACATAGGGCCACAGATCACAACATATGACACACCTTCACAGCATCCATCACAGGCACACAGGTGTCGTTAACATATGTCACAGACTTTCACGGTAGTCACAACACGAAACAGAAGTCATTCTCATATACCACACTCCTTCGCAGCAGCAGTCATCACACAATATATTCTCTCACACGTCCAACACCTTCATAGTACTCGCAACATCCCGCACAGATGCACTAACATTAGTGTCAACCTAACACAACTAAATGACATATATATATATATATGTGTGTGTGTATGTATGTATATATATATATAACACACCTTCATGATATCCACCACATGCTCTACGCCGTCTGTGCCTTCGTTGACCAGTGGGGTGGTAATGGCCTGACTGAGTGCAGGGACGTACCACTTGTTGAGCTCAGCGGCGTCGCTGTATCCGTGCAGCCGTGTGTGCACCTGAAGTTCGCGTAGTTGGCGTGCGTACTTGCCGGTCTTTGAATAGTTGCCCAGCCACTGTGGGAAGCTGATTCGCGGCCACCCGAAGCCTAATGGAGTGGATTGGAGCAGAAAGAGATACAGATATCAATAGAGATGGTACAGATACGTGGACAAATAGTACAGGTGTGGACAAGAGTGCAGGTGTGGACAAATAGTACAGATGTGGACAAATAGTGCAGATGTGGACAAATAGTACAGGTGTTGACAAATAGTACAGGTGTGGACAAATAGTACAGGTGTAGACTAATAGTACAGATGTGGACAAATAGTGCAGGTGTGGACAAATAGTACAGGTGTGGACAAATAGTGCAGGTGTGGACAAATAGTACAGGTGCGGACAAATAGCACAGGTGTGGACAAATAGTACAGGTGTGGACAAATAGTACAGGTGTAGACAAATAGTGCAGGTGTGGACAAATAGTACAGGTGTGGACAAATAGTACAGGTGTAGACAAATAGTACAGGTGTGGACAAATAGTACAGGTGTGGACAAATAGTACAGGTGTGGACAAATAGTGCAGGTGTGGACAAATAGTACAGGTGTGGACAAATAGTACAGGTGTGGACAAATAGTGCAGGTGTGGACAAATAGTTCAAGTGTGGACAAATAGTACAGGTGTGGACAAGAATATTACCAGTATGAACGAGTTTAACACAGCGATTGATCCGAAGAACATAGACATGAGCAAGGACAATACAGGACAATGAGCAATGTAATGCAGACATACAGTAGAAGAAACCAAATATGACCAAGAATACATGAACGTGAAGCACCACGGACACAGCCTGGGAGTCCAGCCATTTAAGACTAGAACAGAAGGTGAGGAATGGATGCCTGTCCTGTACACATGTGGTCACCGCCAGATAACATCACGTGTTAAACCTGCGACACCTGCCCAGTTACTGCAAGCGATCTATGACATTGTGTGCACAGGTGAGTGAGGCCTTAAGCTTTCTTCAGATTAATGTCACTGAAAACAGTTCACCGGACGCCGAGACTTGATTTAAAGACTTGATTTATAGACACACCGGAGAGATGTCATTGAACGCAAAGTGGTACCTCTGCCATCTCATGCATCTCGCATTCTCATCAGTTTGCAGCGAATTCCATCGTTGCGCATCACAAAAGGCTAGACCCACTAAAGACGAAGGTTCATTTTAAATGTCAGACCACAAAAAGACCTACCTGTAGACTTCAATTGGCCCTTCATTATATACGCTGGACGCACAAACGATGCTATGCCGTGGGCTGGCATGAGACCCCACGCATTGTTCGTCCGCTTGCACCCGTCAATCAAATCACTGTCACTGAACGAGTCAGCTGCTAGACTGCAGGTGTGGTGATTGTAGTTGAGGGGGGGGATATTAGTGGAGTTATTGATAGATAGATTAGAGTGTATAGAGGAGTGTGTGTCATATAAAAACGGTCAGTAAAACCTCACAGAATGTGCCCGCTGCTAGACTATAGGTGCAGGCAAGCGAGTGTGCGTGTGTATGTGTGTGGGGGTGGGGCAAGTGTGGATACGGAGTTACTTATATATATATACAAAGTGTGCGAAGAGTGCCTATCATATTAAAATGTTTAGTTAACTCTCACTGAACGGGTCGGCTGCCTGACTATCGAGGTCCGTTGATATATGACGTT